AAAGAGTTGGTGGTCAAAAGCAAAACACTAGTGGGGAGGGGAAGGAGAAAGAAGAAAGAAAAGCATAAACAGGGGGAAAAATGGATGGAGAAAAAGACACAGTTAATAATCATGACTGTAAATGTGAATGGGATGAACTCTCCCATAAAATGGAAACATATAGCAGAATGGATTAAAAACCATAATCTTACAATATGTTGTTTACAGGAAACACATTTGAAAAAGAGTGACACATACAGGGTAAAGGTAAAAGGCTAGAGCAGAATATATTATGCTTCAGCTGAAGTAAAAAAAGGGGTAACAATCCTGATCTCAGACAAAGTAAAACCAAAAATAGATCTTATCAAAAGAGATAAGGAAGGAAACTACATCCTGCTAAAAGGCACCAGAGACAATGAAGTAATATCATTACTAAACATATATGCAACAAATACTATAGCATCCAGATTCTTAGAGGAGAAGTTCAGGGAGTTACAGGAAGAAATAGACAGCAAAACTATACTAGTGGGGGACCTCAACCTCCCCTTCTCTGAACTAGATAAATCTAATCATAAAATAAAGAAAAAAAGAAGTTAAGGAGGTGAATAGAACATTAGAAAAGTTAGGTAAGATAGACCTCTGGAGAAAACTGAATGGGGATAGAAAGGAATATACTTTTTTCTCGGTGGTACATGGCACATACACAAAAAATTGACCATGTACTAGGGCATAAAAACCTCACAATCCAATGCAGAAAGGCAGAAATATTAAATATCTCCTTTTCAGATCATGATGCAATAAAAATTATGTGTAATAAAGGGCCATGGAAAGATAGACTAAAAAATAATTGAAAACTAAATAATCTAATCCTAAAAAATGATTGGATCAAACAACAAATCATAGAAACAATCAATAATTTCATTCAAGAGAATGAAAATAATGAGACAACATACCAAAACTTATGGGAGGCAGCAAAAGCAGCTCTTAGGGGAAGTTTTATATCTCTAAATGCTTACATAAATAAAATAGAAAAAGAGGAGATAAAGAATTGGGCATACAACTAAAAAAATCTAGAAAAAGAACAAATTAAAAATCCTCAATTAAACACCATATTAGAAATATTGAAAACCAAAGGAAAAATTAACAAAATCGAAATTAAGAAAGCTATTGAACTAATAAATAAAACTAAGAGCTGCTCTTATGAAAAAACCAATAAAATGGATAAAACTTTGGTTAATTTATTTTAAAAAAAAGAAAGAAAAAAAACAAATTGCTAGTATCAAGAATGAAAAGGGTGAAGTTACCACCAAAGAAGAGGAAATTAAAACAATAATTAGGAATTATTTTGCCCAACTATATGCCAACTAATTTGACAATCTTAACGAAATGGATACATATTTAGAAAAATATAAATTGCCCAGATTAACAGAAGAGGAAGTAAAATACTTAAATAACCCCATCACAGAAAAAAAAATGAAAAAGCCATTGATGAACTCCCTAGGAAAAAATCTACAGGGCCAGATGGATTTACATGTGAATTCTATCAATCACTTAAAGAACAATTAATTCCAATACCATATAGACTATTTGGGAAAATAGGTGAAGAAAGAGTCTTACCAAATTCTTTTTATGATACAAATATGGTGCTGATACCTAAACCTAGAAGAGTCAAAACAGAGAAAGAAAATTATAGACCAATTTCTCTAATGAATGTAGACGCAACAATTTTAAATAAAATATTAGAAAATAGATTACAGCAACTTATCACAAGAATAATACACTATGACCAGGTAGGATTTATACCAGGGATGCAGGGCTGGTTCAATATTAGGAAAACTATCAGCATAATTGACCATATCAACACCAAAACTAACAGAAACCACATGATCATCTCAATAGATGCAGAAAAAGCTTTTGACAAAATACAACACCCATTCCTATTAAAAACACTAGAGAGTATAGGTATAAATGGAGTCTTTCTTAAAATAATAAATAGCATCTATCTAAAACCTTCAGCAAGCATAATATGTAATGGGGACAAGCTATAAGAATTTCCAATAAGATTGGGGGTGAAACAACGATGTCCATTATCACCATTGTTATTCAATATCATACTGGAAACATTAGCTTTAACAATAAGAGAAGAAAAAGAAATCTAAGGTATTAGAATAGGCAAAGAAGAAACAAAACTATCACTCTTTGCAGATGACATGATGTTATACTTAGAGAATCCTAGAGAATCAAGTAAAAAACTGCTTGAAATAATAAACAACTTTAGCAAAGTTGCAGACTATAAAATAAACCCACAAAAATCATTGGCATTTCTATATATTACCAACAAAGTCCAACAGCAAGAGATAGAAAGAGAAATTCCATTTAAAATTACTTTAGACATTATAAAATATTTAGGAGTCTACCTCCCAAAACCAACCCAGGAACTCTATGAACACAATTACAAAACACTTTTCACACAAATAAAGTCAGATCTAAATAATTGGAGAAACATCAGTTGCTCATGGGTAGGCCAAGCTAATATAACACAAATGACAATTCTCCCTAAGCTAATTTACTTATTCAGTGCCATATCAATCAAACTATCAAAAATTATTTTATAGAGTTAGAAAAAATAATAACAAGATTCATTTGGAAGAACAAAATGTCCAGAATATCAAGGGAACTAATGAAAAGAAATTCAGGGGAAGGTGGCCTAGCCATTCCAGATCTTAAATTGTATTATAAAGCAACAATCATCAAAACTTCTTCGTAGTGGCTAAGAAATAGAGTGATGAGTCAGTGGAATAGGTTAAATATGCAATACAGTAGTCAATTACTATAGTAATCTATTATTTGATAAACCCAAAGATCCCAGCTTCTGGGATAAGAACTCACTCTTTAAAAAAAAACTGCTGGGAAAACTGGAAAAGAGTATGGCAGAAACTAGGCATAGACCAAAATCTCACACCATATGCCAAAATAAAGTCAAAATGGGTTCATGATTTAGATATAAAGGCTGATACTATAAGCAAACTGGGAGAGCAAGGTATAGTTTACCTATCAGATTTATGGAGAACAGAGGAATTCATGACCAAACAGGAGATAGAGAACATTATGAAAAACAAAATGGATAATTTTGATTACATTAAATTGAAAAGTTTTTGCACAAACAAAGCCAATGCAACTAAGATTAGAAGGAAGGTCGAAAATTGGGAAAGGATTTTTACAACCAGTCTCTCTGATAAGGGCCTCATTTCTAAAATATATAGAGAATTAAGTCAAATTTATAAGAATACAAACCATTCCCCAATTGATAAATGGTCAAAGGATATGAACAGACAGGTCTCAGATGAAGAAATTAAAGCCATCTATAGTCATATGAAAAAATGTTCTAAATCACTATTGATTAGAGAAATGCAAATTAAAACAGCTCTGAGGTACCACATCACACCTATCAGATTGGCCAAGATGACAAAACAGGAAAATGATAAATGTTGGAGAAGATGTGGGAAATTGCAACACAAATGCATTGTTGGTGGAGTTGTGAAGTGATCCAAACATTTTGGAGACCTGTTTGGAACTATTCCCAAAGGGCTATAAAAATGTGCAGACCCTTTGACCCAGCAATAACACTTCTAGGGCTATATCCCAAAGAAATCATACAAATGGGAAAAGGACCCACATGTGCAAAAATATTCATAGCGGCTCTTTTTGTGGTGGCAAAGAATTGGAAATTGAGAGGATGGCCATCAATTGGGGAATGGCTGAACAAGTTGTGGTATATGAATGTAATGGAATACTATTGTGCTATAAGAAATGATGAACAGGCTGACTTCAGAAAAACCTGGAAATACTTGTATGCTCTGATGCTGAGTGAAGTGAGCAGAACCAAGAGAACATTGTACACAATAACAGCCACGTTGTGTGATGACTAATATTGATACACTTAACCCTTCTGGCAATACAAGGATCTAAGACATCTCCAGAAGCCTTGTGGTGGAAAATGCTATCCACATCCAAAGAAAGAACTATGGAAGTTGAATTGTTATTTTTTTTCTTCTCTTCTGTTGAGTTTTGTTTCTTCTTTCTGATGGTTCCTTCTCTTGGTTTTAATTTTTACTTACAACATCACTAATGTGAAAATACATTTAAAATAAATGTAAATGTATAGCCTATATCACATTGTGCATTGTCTTGGGGAGGGTGGTGGGGAGAAAGAGGGAGAAAAATTTTAAACTCAAAAGCATATGGAAGTGATTATTGATAAATCAAAATAAATTAATAAAAAAGTAGAAATAATAATATGTTTTATGAACTATGTCAAGTGTCAGATATTGAAATATTGCAATTCAGACAATCCTTACACTCAAGGATCCTACATTATATTGGGGAGAGAATGTATGTAGGGGACTGTCACTAAGAAGAATGTTTTTGTGAAGGGAGCTAGAGGGATGGAGACTGGCATCATAGGATAATTGATTGATATGTCTTTTCCAGGAATGGTAGAGTGATAATGTTTATTGGATTGCTGTTCTCCACCAAGAGACAGAGAGAGGGTCAGGGGAAAGGACAACACAAACAGAAGTATGTCATGATGGTGGCTAGGCTGGGCTGGGCTGGGCTTACTGGACCTGATTTGAGCTAGTCCTGATGCTCATTCCTTCACTCATTAGCAGCTTAGGGCCCAAAGCAGAGTTAGAGTTAGAAAACAATGTCTGAGGTTTAGGCTGGAATTATCATCATCATCACCACCACCATCATCATCATCATCATCATCATCATCACAAAGTCACTATTCCTCACATGAGGATTCTAAGGGTTGCAGAGCTTAAGGGAGCTGCCCATGGTCACACAGGTAAGTAAAAGTTGAGTATTGAACTAAAGTCTTCCTGACTCCAAGTCTATGTTTTGAATCATAGTACAGTGGTCTTGCTACTACAAAAAATGGAAGACCTTTGTAAAATTCTTCAGGGACTCCATGTTGAATTCTTTCCACCTAGAAAATTCTGAATTGTCCTCAGAGGTACTCAAAGGACTTGAAGATGATTTCCTCTCTGGCAGCCCCTCATCAGCCATGACACCCTCAGGGCAGCCTTTCTCAGCTTGCTGTTCCACAGAATCAGGATCACTGAGTGGCCAAAGGGATAGAGTGACATGATTGACATAATGAACATGGAAGCCAGCTTACTCTTTTCCTCTGTGAAGTAGTAGACATATAAACCCAGATAGTACAATAAAAAGAGGATGAGGAAGGAAGACACAGCTTTCATGGCTCGAACATGGGCTTCTGTGCTAGGGTCTCTGGAACCTGTGGCATTGAGTTGCATCTGTCGAGTATGCCTCCACAAGGAGAGAATGAATAAGGAGAAGGAGATTATAGACAGAATAAAAGGAAGAAGACTCATGAGGTCAAGTAGAACCTGGAACATGAGGAACATACTTTTACTCACTTGGACCTCCTGGGACACATTGTTCTCCTTTCCTCTATTAAAGATTCTGCCATAGTAATAATACATTCTCTCCACCATTGCAAAGCCAACAGAAAAAGAGAAAATCAAGGTCCCCACAAGAAGCATGATGACCATCCTGTCAATTCTCCTTTTCATCCAGAGGAAGAAGGGATTAGAGAAGTTGGTGATCTTCAAGAAGTAGAAGATGCTGAGGATAGTGACAAACCAAGTATTTGAACTGTGAGTCAGTATCAAGAAGAAGTCATTTATTCTTACTTGACTGGGTACATCAAGAGAAGTAAAAATTAAATAATTTCTCCATGTTATTGCACACGAGAGTCCAATTCTGGAGATGGCTAAGCTGACCATGATGAGATCACTTGGTGGCACTTTCTTGTTCTTGACACAGTCAATGCAGTTCACCAGAACTATGAATCCATTTACCAGAATGCCCAATAGAAAATCATAAATTGTCAGAGCCATAAAAATTTTCTTCCCATTACTTAGCATGATGGCAGAAAGAAGATCGCTTAGGAAGTTATCAATATTTATAATATGTTTGATGCTACTGCTGTTGGATTAATTTCCAGGCAAAATGATTATGGAATGATATGTGCTTTTTATATTTGGTCATGCAGTAATGTTCTTCTCTGTCTTTAATAAAGTTTCTGCCTTAGGCAAGAAAATGTCTAGTCCTCTATTGAAATATCTTCATTAAGATATCCTCTGTGCCTTGCCAACCACTCAGTTAAAACTCTGCTGCCAAGACACACTCTATCTATGGCATTTCTATTTCTTCTTGAGAGGTGAACATGGAAAGGATTGGAGTCCTATGTTAAGATGCAAATAGGGAAAGGTCATCTTTCAATATTTTCCTTTGTGTCTCAGCCTATTTTGTATCCAAACACCTGAGCTGTGTATGATGAACCTCACCCAATTATGTATAACATGGGGAATGTAACAAAGCCCTAAATGTAGAGATTTTGATTCACCTCCATCATTTCCCATCATATTAAATATTGATGTTGTCACCAATTATTTATAAAATCAAACTCATGCTGGGTATTTCTTGTAAGTCACATTTAGGTTTGAAAATTATAAATGAGTTGCAATATAATGGACCACTAATCTATGTAGTTCACACTAAAAAAAAAAAACACCTTTTTTTTTTTCAATTTTCATTGTAACTCAGACAAAGCTGTATACCATGCTAATTCCACTATAAAGACATAGTCTTAGAATCAGGCAGGAAAAGCAGGTTTTTTTTTATCAACTACCATCTTTTTGTTGACTTCTGTGGAAAATAAACTTCTAGAGAGAAGTTGATAATAGTTTACATGTATCTATTGTCTTAAGTTTTCCAGAGTATTTTTTTTTGCAGTAAGTTTGGAGGTGTGAATTCAAGGACTATTTTTCCCTCTGTTTATAGATAAAAGAATGGGGTTTGCAAGGTGAGATTACATGTCCAGCCATCATAAAATCAAGAGTCAGAACTATATTTTTGACCTAGATGTAAGTTTATGGACATTTAATTAGAAGAAGTAATCACCTCCTTAAGAACCAACTGATTTCTTTTAACTGTAGTATTAGGCAACTTTCCCTCAATGAACTTTTCACTTCCTAAACCCACAGTTGGGTTTGAATGCTTTTCAGCTCACCTCAAGAAAGGTCTACATTGTCCCATACCTTACCATGCTAGGTGATTTTTCAGAATCTTCCAAAAACAATTTAAAAGGGAATGGTTCAATTTTCTGGCCTGTCACCGGTAAGCCATCCCAGTTTCACAGGCACACAACAATGAGGTCAGCATAATGGCTGTGTGCTTCCTTCCAAGCTTTTTAGCATGATGTTTTTAGTGATGTTGTCAGACACCTTCAACTAGGATGAAAATGGCATCAAGGTCAGCTACTGCACAGTTTGTAAATGATTTAACTGGAAAAGGTTACAAGCCAAAACTAAAAGTGGAAGGAGAATTGGTAGATGACTTTCTGTTTGCAGATAATTGCGCACTCAAAGCAGCTTCTGAGGCTGAAATGTAATAGAGTATGGATCGATTCTCAGACACGTGTGCCAATTTTGCCCTGACAATGAATTCCAACAAAACAGAAGTTCTCCATTAGCCACAACCACACGATCCATTTTTGAAACCATCACTTACAGCAAATGGAGAGACTTTGAATGTTGTGGATAAATTCACTTACCTTGACAGCATACTTTCCTAGGTTATACACATAGATTTATAAGGTTTGTTGCATGCACTGCAGAGCTAGCTCAGTGTTTGGAAGGCTCCAAAGTAAAGTGTGAGAGAGAAGAGGTAATAGGTTGCCTGTCAAGCTGAACACATAGTGCTGAACTCATGGTTGTATGCCTATGAAACCTGTACATTCTACTAGAACTTTGCCATGAAATTGAAACACTTCCACCTGAATTGTCTTGAGAAGATTCTGAAGATCACCTGGCAAGTTAAGGTACCAGACAGTGAGGTCCTTTCATGCACTTACCTGACAAGCATTCAAACTCTACTGTAGAGAGCACAACTCCAATGGGCTGATTGTGATGTTCAAATGCTAAACATATGTTTGCCTAAAAGTTCATGTCATGGAGAACTCACAAAAGGCAAGTGCTCATACAAAGGTCAGAAGAAACATTATATAGACACTGTCTAGATTTCTCTGAAGAACTTTGGAATCAATTGGGAGACATGAGAGACATTGGCACTGGACCATTCAACATGGAGGCCTGCATCAAAGAAGGCATGGTACTCTATGAATAAAGGTCAATTGCATCACTTCAAAAGAACATGAGATGCAGACATTTACAGACATCTTCATTACAAATGTTGATGTGGACTACACAGGCCCAACTTGTAGTAGCACCTTCTGGGTTCAAATTCAGCCATAGTTGGAGACACTACACATTAACCCCAACATTGTGATATTATTTGGGTCCTCTTTGAGAAGGAAGGCAACCACCACTACCAAATTCTTTGCCTTCTCTCAGCAGCACTGATGAAAAAAGCCACTTGTACCCCTAAGCTTTTTAGTTGCTTGATCAAGATTTCATAATTCCATATTTTAAAAAGAAAGCATATAATCTTTTATTACTGTAAAAGTAGCAATCAAATTAAAGTTTTAGTTAGATTAATACAAAAGAGAAAGGAGTTTTAGAATGTTCAGGTTTATTTACTTAAAAGTACTTAAAATAAATTAGAAATAATAACAAAATAAAAGGGGGGTTGGAAGGAATAAGAGGAAGCCATCCTAAGGGCAAAATTCCAATTTACAATAAAAAAGGGCATTAACCTCAGAGAAGGATAGGAATGAATACGTTGAAGAAGAGTGAAATAGCTTTTTATTTTCATTCTGTATTTCTTTAACTTTTCTGATGTTTTTCATGTAAACAACAGATTTTGGGGATTTATTTTCTTATCCATTGTGTAATTCTCTTTCATTTTGTGTTAATGTTTAGTACATCAATATTTAAGTCCTGAATATTGGATTTCTATGTGTTTCTTTAGTATTTATTTAAAAAAAGACATCTTTTTTGTCAATACTTCATTCTTGAGATAAGATTAGTTTTCCTTAAATTATTTTGATGCTAATTTATTTCCCCTGGCTTATATTCCCTTTCCCATTCCTTCTTCATGTCCTTTCCCTAGTTCTTAGATTGTAATTAAATCATTAATTGTTCTTTGTTTTCTTAATTTAGTTATGTATTTCAGATTCCCTTTTCCTCTTTAACCTTCAGCTAAGTGGCTAATATGAAATCTTCCTTTCCTTTCTCTCATCCATCTTCTGGTTGTTATTTATTTTATTTTTCTGTATCTTTTTTTCTGAGAATTTTTTTTACTTTGTTTTCTCTAATTTCTTTTCCATTCTATTTTGAGTTTTACTTTTTAACTTGAGAGCTATAATTTAATTTATGCCATCTTTATTCTCTGTGTCCTTCATGGGATTTAAAGTTTCTTAAGTATTGGGTCTGGGTTTGATTTTGCTTCTGCTGATGATACATGGAGTCTTGAGGGTAAGAGGCACTGATGGAGTGCTCTACATTAGATATTTCTTCAATATTAATTTATAGAAGTTTTATATTCTCAAGGATTCTGAGTTTTGTAGATGTGTCTGTAAGTACTCCACATCTGGTGCATAATTCTTTTGGAGGTGGGATTAGAGGATTGAAATAATTTGAAGAAAGTGGTGTATCTACCAACTTTTGTTTTAAATCCATTCATAAAAATATAGGAACTATTTTTAAAGTAGACATCACCGTTACAAATACTCCAGAATATGAGCAATGGAATTTTTTTTTCTTCTGTGATATCTTCTTGGTCATACCAGAGATTCCACTCTAGGCCTTCAGTTGGAGATGGAATCATGCTTTTAGTGGAGGGTCTTCTGTCCAGGTGGTGCTTGGACTCACTTGCAATAAAACTCTATGGTTCTCCTTGCTGGGGGAATGGACCTTCACCCCCAATATCCACATACTCATAATCACCATACTATATAAAATGAAAAACCTTGTACAACATAAAAATATAATGGAAGAGCTCAAAATTTTGGTGGGGAGGGGAATGCAGTCCATGTCATTGACATCAAGCTGTCTCTTTTGGCTCCATCATAAAGAAGTTTTTAATGAACCTCCAGAAGACAAGTTAATATCACCATACTTTTACTCAATTACAAAAGCAGTCATTTTATTCACCTCTGCAAAACTCCATAGAACATTTGTGACAAATGAGTAATAGCAGAATCATTGGTCCAGGATCATTTCTCTTTGAATGCCGTAGAAAGAACATAAAAAGATAGTAATTATTGAAGGCTTAGAAAGAACTTTTCATCTATTTTCTAACTTGAGTCTCATAGCAACCCTGTGAGATAGGAGTTATGATTGTCTCCATTTTGTATATGTAGATATTGAGTCTCCAAGAGGTAAAAAGCCATGAGTCTATGGTCATACAGAGTCAAGATGGAAATGGAACTCAAGTTTCTATTGACTCCAAATCCAGCTGGAAGCATCGTGCTGGGAAATTTACAAGAAGGGGTGGGTGGTAGTAGATGCCCATAGCACCCTTGTAAGTTAAGTCTACTTTATGAATATTTTCTCCATCACTTTCTTGTCTAGACAATCAATAAAGTAAAACAAAAAGCATTCCTCTGTATGTGGTATTTGCAGATCTCTGCAGTAGAAATGCTCACATGGAAAACGTAACAACTGTCTATCCAAAGTGCTTGCAAGATGCCTCCTGACCACTTCTGCCTAGTAGTTTAGCCTAGGTAGCTAGTGTGAAAAGTAAACCTCCCTGTTGAACCCATTTTCAGGTACTCATATATACTTATGGTTCTTCTTGCTGAGGGAATGGAACTTCACCCCTATTATTCATGTCATCATCATCTCACTATAACTGAAATTGCCTCCCAAGCCAGTTGTCTATAAAACAATCATTGTCTGTGTCTTTCTAGCAAGTCATTTGTAGATGTGAATATTATCAGTGAATTGTGATAGAATCAGCA